GTTTTTATGGCGTCATAATGGTGGTCTACAATTGTTTGAACCTGAAAATGCATAAGGTATTTACATACTCATACGTACATTTGATTGTATATATATATTTATATGTAATTCTTTTCATACTCCTTAAATATTAATTTATTTATTCAAGATTACTTAAGTGTAAAATTCATTTGAATATAAGGGTCGCTACTATATTATATTCTTAATAACCTTAAGAAAAAAAGGAATTAATTAGTATAAATGTTCATACGAAGCTTTTATATATAAACTAGCGTGTCCGTTCGACGTTTTGTGCTTATAAAGCTATCTTTCCACGCCCGTTTATAATTGAAATCTACCCGTCTTGAACCTCATTAAAAACATGTTTTGAGTGGATCGAATAAAGAACCAAGTGTTGGAATCATTGGTTTACGCTCATGCGGTGAGAATCTTAAAGCTTAAGAATAAACCTTTGTTTATTAAGCCCTTGGCCCGCATTTGCCGGACAAATAAATAAATTCATACAGAGATCATTGTAAATGTTTATGAAGCCGATCGGATCATGAAGAAGATCGGCTAAATTTCTAATAACCTTGCATAAAGATTGAGCTGCCATGACTTTGCTTAAATTTATAAGTGTTAATCTATATTTTGCATTTCATATGTCTCTGCATCAAGTTGGGATGCTTTTTATACACTGAACCCAATGAAAATTATTAAAGAGGGTACTGTTTGCCGATATTTCAATATGCAAACCAAACATTACACTAAATAAACAGTTTTAACCCATTTTTAGTGGATTTAGGGTACAAAACAAAACATGTATGGCTTATATGCATATATATAAGAATTTAATTATTTCAAATTCAACTATAATATATATAAATATATATATCTATATATTTAATTTTTTACTTAAAGATGTATAAATAAATTCTCATATATGAACATATATATTCATACAGTTGGTGTCCTATTTATTGTGACATTCGCTTAGTTAATTTGCATAGGAAACGGTTCCTTTATTATGCTAGAAACACAGTGAATGAAAACAAATTGTGTTGACAATAGATATATATATATAAGATAATATATATATATATATATACATAAGATAATAAATATACAATAATATAATTTTCTAAATTCCATATTTGAGCTTTACCAAAGATAACTTATTATCACTGGGAGTTTCCTTAAAATCCATAATAGTTTGAACCTTTGATCAAATATACAAAGATTAAAATTTTTTATTTATCTTAATAGATGTCTGGTTTTTGATAAAAGTACTAAACAGGAACCGAAAAGAATGGTTGGAACAAATTATAATAATTATGCGAAAATGTAAAAAAAAAAACAACAACAATATTTTCTGCGAATATGTAATATGTACATTATTGGGTGAATTGATGCCGTTTTAAGGAGTTGAACCTAATTATGGAACTCAGAATATTTTACTTACCACTTTGGAATTCTCTTTTTTGTTTAAGCCTAATGCTCTTAGCATTTGATTGCGCTGTTCCATCATGAGAGTTCTCTCATAGGTATATGCAGAAATATCGCTATTATTCTGATAAAAAATATTATAAGTGACGTTGTATTTCAATAAAAATCAGTTTTGCAGTTACCATTTCAACAACTTCAACATCTGCTTCAATCCGTAAATGGTACAAGAATGTCTTTAAATCTTTCTTCATTTGGATAGAATTATCTTCGATTTGAGCAACGGTAAAAATGCGAAGCTTACAATTACGCCAAGTCCTATGTTGCTTTAGCAAGAATGGCAGCAACATAAGAAGGCCGCCGTCATGAACAATCCACCAAATATCAATGTTTCCACCAATCTAAAATTTGTTACAGGTTATTCGAAGTAAATAAATACTCATTAATACTAAGATACTTTGTGGTTAGATTCTGGATAAAAGTTGATCCCCTTGGGAACAATTAGTGCCATGTGGCATGCAGCAACAGTTCGAACTGTTTGTATGAACGTCTTCCAGCTATATCGTCCTTCTTGTCTCCAACTATACGGCCATCCGATAATAACGGTATTTGGCTTCATTCCACCTAACCCAATCGTTTGAATGCTGAGATAAAAAGTAAATCAAATATTAAATTATACAAGATTACAAAGCGCTAAATGCTTACACCGAGCTAAGACCCTCGCCGATTTCTTGGGCAACTAAAACATCACAAAATCCTTTTACTTTTTCATCTGTCATGTATTTCCGAAGCGTAGTTTTCGCGTCAACTGCTTTATTTGCAATTTTTGTGTGATCACCCTTTATCACAGACACACAAATTGTCAATCCCTTGCCAGCTTTCAGCTGAGTGGCAAACGAAAATATTTTTCTATACTTCGGAAGGAGGTTTTCATTGAGTTTAGAAAGCACCAAAATTTGGGGACGCCAATTTTTGGTATGTGGAGGGCCTTCTTCTAGGCGTTGAAGTGAGTATCTTGCTGCTGTTAGCGCCATTCCACGAATGCCATCGCCCCATTCTTTCTCAGCTCTGTTAAAAAAGAAAATTGATTACGGTTAGATACCTAATTTTGATAACTATATTTTCTTTGCAAATTTTTATTTGATTGATATTTTAAGTGATATAGATTCCCGGTTGAAATGCATATTTCGATTAATTAGATCGAACTTACCCTCGATATTCGATGTATTTGTATATAACAATCGCCATGCCCATGGCAATAAGTGCAAAATACCAAGATGTCATAATCATAACTGATATGCACAAGGTAAGACCAATCAGGGATAAGCTCCAGTGATAAAACTTAAAGCGAGGTCTCCAGTTAGGAGTTCTCAGTAATGTTTGCACCGCGCATGCCAAATTTACAAAGCCATAGCACATGAGGAAAAACATTGATAGTAATGGGGCAAGTAGATCAACATTTCCTGTGGAAAATACATTGTAATATGTGATATCACAGGAGCGTGATAAATCATGAATATAATATACCTAATAAAATTCCACATTGACAAATGACAATTGTTAAAAGTAGAGCCCTTACTGGCTCTCCACGGTTGGATGATTTGGCAAATGGGGCCAAAAAGGGAATAATCTCATCTTTAGCGATCGCCTGTAGTAATCGTGGCGCGCCCGTTAAGCTTTGCAACCCAGCACCTAGGGTTGACAAAAACGAACCAATTAATATCACCCATTGGTTTGGCCACGCAATATTAGCCACAACTAATTTTCCTCCAATTGACTGTCCATACCTTTAATAATATGAATAGTTGTTGTTACATTGCCGAGATAATTATATAATATTATACTTACTTATCGCGTAGCAGTAAATTATCAACAGTTCCAGCAAAAAACAGAACACTTGTTAAATAAACAGTACTGGTGGTTAAAATAGCACAAATTGTGCCAATTGGAATACTCTTTTGAGCGTCAGCCAAATCTCCCGATCGGTTGGAGCCGGCCATGATGCCTAATTTGTAATAATACATATTGAGATATTAAATTAATTTTGATTTTTGGTTCTAAATACTAATCTACCTGTGACAGATGGAAAAAATATTCCGATAAGTAGCGTGAAGGACGTCGTTATGTCAGCCATAATTTGATTATATGACTGACTTCCAATGTTTTCGATATCAACTGAGTTCCGTCCGTATGATATAAGTTGTCCCTTTTCCAAAAACGATGGCATAATATTGTCGTAGAATACGCCACTGGCAAGACCTTTTATACCCTTTACTTTGGTCACGTTATTATCTGTTGATAAGGGTAAAACAGTTAACAAAAGTTATAAAAACAAATTATTTTCTATAAATATGTAAATTACTTAGGTAGTAGTCGTCACATTTCCGATCTGGGCAATACATATCGACCAATATGGGATCTTCTTTTGTACAATTTTCAATGGGAATATCCTTAAGAAGTCGCTTTCCAAGTACACATAGGCTGCAATAAACACGAATATTAAAGTCAAATGCTCAAACATAATTTTGATGGCACCTTACTATAATTTTTCATTTCCATGAATATTGTCGAAAATTCCTATATATACCGCTATTATAGAAAATATTACACAAGCCAGTGCAACTGTTGCGAATTTGTTGACAAACTTAACACCCAAAAATACAATTAAACCTTATAAAGAAGAAAATTTTCTTACTTGTATCATATGGGATTGAGAATTTCAATTTGCTTACCCATAAAACACAGGAGTAGACTACCATAAACTCTGAAGTTATTATACATAGCTTCAGCATCTTTTGTAAAGTCTCCAAAAATGGATGCCCATGGTGCCATATATGTCTGCGAAATAATTGAAATTATACAATTGAATATACAAATGTTGCTATACAATTTCTTACCAATACAATTTCAACAGCTCCAACAATGTACATAGCAGCTGCCAACGTTGTCCCCGTGTAAAACAGCATCCCCACGGCCCCGCCAAATTCAGGACCGAGCGATCTATATAAATTAAAGTAAAATGTTTGAACGACATGTGTCTGTATTCTTCAAGAAGTGTTGTGTAAACTGTCTCTCAAGCTCAGTGTAGCTATCTTTGTCGGTTGATGTACATTTTTAAGGTAACTTTTAGTCGGGCACTTCGGACGATGGCCCTCTTAATTGTACGTACCTTGATATCATAAAGTAGCTGCCTCCTGCGGGTACAACACCATTCGTTGCAATGGCTGACATTGATATCGCCGTAAGCATTGTCTAAAATTGTTATAATTCGTAATATTCAGTGCTAGCTTGAAGTGGTAAAATGAGGGCATTCTTACCACACAACAACATGTCAGCACAATTAAGAATCCACAAACTGCTCCAGCTGTACCAACAACCCAAGTTAATCGAATAAATAATATTACACCAAAAATGTTCTGAATACATGGCAAAAACACCCCAATAAGCGTTCCTAAAAAAAAAATATATTCAGTATTAAAATAAATAATTTAAGAATATACGTAAATTCACAATCACCAAAACACGCAAGAAGAGGAAAAGGAGGGTATAATGGTTAATATCATGCTCGGCTGCCACGAGTTATTCAACTGTTTAAATTTCTGTCACAATCAAAATGAACTGAGCATATCCGAGGCTAAGCACCCGGAGTTGGAAATGGTGTACAGGTTGGGCAGTCGCAAGACGGAGTGTAAGATACAGGAGCTAATGCAGGATCTGGAGCAGCGTATCAATAGCGACGCAATATGCGTTCCATCATGGGTATACAACATGGATCTAACGACTTTCGTCACTTGCTCATGAATTTGGGCCGTGACAGTCTGCAGTTGCCCACGGAGCTGCCCTTTCTCAAGGCTGTTTACAGAGGCATATATTGATGTGCTCTACTCGTGCTCACCGGGCGAACGGCAGGTGCAAGAGCTCAGCCAGAAGATGAGTTGTCGGACGGCCGCTTCTTGCCGCTTAGAACTGAATGTTTTATGTGGAACTTGTATTTAAGCAACATTGCTGCCCATATGCAGAGCTGCACATTTTGGGTCAACGGCCCAATTAAAGGTTATGGTTATTACAAAGGGCTCCCGATTCGATCCCACCCTACCATAATATTAAATGCAACACATGCACACTTCATTTAATGCAAAATTAACCTAGGCAAGTAAAAGAAATTTATATTTATTTAACATACCCATTCGAGCCGATGGCGGTGGTGGCTTCGCATCAGGGTCGGTGGCCGCTGGTATCGTGTTTTCATAATTGGCAATTGATGAAATGAAAGTCGAAATATGTGGCCTGGTCTCCAAGTCATCGTCGTAGAGGTACAAATTGGGGTCAATACTTGATTTTTGATTTTCTTCTACATTGCGGACATCACGCGAATCTGAAAGCATACATAGATAGGCAAATATTCGTAAGAAATAATTTCATTGGCTCAAACGTATCTGATATGATGCTGCAGTAAAATAAAAACTTAGATAAATCGTACAGAACGTATCCCTCAGACAAATAAATATTTTATTTCTGTCAAAATAGTGACAATAAGCTGTTAAGCTTCTTTATAATCTGGCAACATTGTATCATGTTAAAATAGTGACAATAAGCTGTTAAGCTTCTTTATAATCTGGCAACATTGTATCAGCATAGTACTCATTCTGTAATTGAGTACTTGTTCAGATTTTTGTACTCATGCTTGAAGTTTCCATTAAACATTTAACCGAACCACTACGTGTGTTTTCTTTATGTGCATTTTAGGCACACTAGAAATTTCCCAACATTGGTTATGGGCCCAGGTCTCGTTGTTTTCGGTTAAATAAGTACACAAAGTGTCTATGGTTTTGAAAGCTTCCTTTTGTTAAATTTTTAAAAAGTTTATTTCGTGCGAAGAATAACGTGGTGAAATTGTCAAAATGAACATGTCGCATCAAATAGAAAAACTTGGTGAGGACAATTATGACGTATGGCATATGGCCATGAAAAGTGTCTTGGTGGTGGCGGACCTATGGAATGTTGTGTGTGGAAAATATGTTAAGCCAGAAGGAAATGGTGAGGATATCGAAAAATGGGTTAGTGTCGACCAAAAAGCGATGGCTTACATAATTTTAAATCTGAAGCCAACACAGTTGATGCATATCAAGTCATGCCCAACATCTGCAGCTGTATGGAAAAAACTAAAGGAAATTCATGTCTCAGTTGGACCGATTAGGAAGGTCCAATTATATCAAAAATTAATACGTTTCAATATGCAGCAGGGTGACGATGTAGTCGCATATGTCAATTCATTTGTTGAGACAATTGAAAAGTTGGCAGAATTAGACATCAAACTCAATGACGAGTTGCAGGTCATCATGTTTTTGAGCAGTCTACCAGACACATGGGAAAATTTTGTAATAGCGATTGAGACACGCGATGAGCTGCCCAAATTCGAAGTCGTCAAGGTTAAAATGTTAGAAGAGGCCACGCGAAAGCAAGAAAGAGCTAGCAGAGACGGCATAGGGACACCAGAAGCAGTGTATACACACAAGCATAATGGACCGCGGGACAACAACAGTGTCGAAAGTAAAGGCAGAAAGAATAGCAGTAAGCAGCCATTCCGAGGCAAATGTTTTAATTGCGAAAAAGAAGGGCATCGAGCGAGCGATTGCCGAAATAAAAAGAAGGATGATAAAAAGAGCCAAAAGGACGAAAAGTCTCTATGCTTAATGCACACGTGTGTCAAGGAGAAGCAAAAGAGTTTTTGGTGCGTTGACAGTGGTGCAACATCGCACATGTGCTGCGACCGCAGCATGTTCCTTACGTATGCTGATAAAAAGACGTCGATAATGTTGGCCGCAAATAAGTTTATCGATTCACCCGGCAGTGGCAGTGTTGAGTTGCACTGCAATAGAATAAAATTAAAGCTGCAAAATGTTTTATATGTCCCTGACTTAAGCATGAATTTTTTATCAGTAAGTGCTGCAGCAAAGTTTGAGAATTCTACCATATTTGAAGGGAAAATTGCGCTGATAAAAGACAAAGAAGGCAACGAGATAATAAGGGCAAGACACGAAAATGGTTTGTATGTTTACAAACATAGTCTTGATCAGGTTCATATGCTAAATAGTTCTGATTCATCTTCCATAAAATGGCACAATAGATTTGGCCACCTGAATTTTAAGGATTTGAAATTGCTTAATGATAAGCAACTGGTGCGTGGTATGAAAGTTGAAAATGTACAATTAGAAATAAATTGCGATACATGTAATAAAGCAAAAATTTGTGCATTGCCATTCCCACAGAAAGCGAATCGTGTCTCAAAGCAAGTACTGGACTTAGTACATACAGACGTATGTGGTCCGATGAATGTTAAGTCGCTTGCAGGCAATCGATATTTCGTAACTTTTATTGATGACTACTCACGCAAGATATTTGTTTACCTTATGCACTCAAAAAGCCAAGTTTTTGAAAAGTTTAAAATGTTTAAAACTTTTGTAGAATGCCAAACAGGAAATAAAATAAAGGCTGTGCGCAGCGACAATGGAACAGAGTATGTGAATAAGCAATTCACTGAATTTTTGATCGAGTGCGGTATAAAGAGGCAATTAACAGTTCCTTACACTCCGCAGCAAAATGGTGTGGCCGAACGTGCTAATCGGACCATCGTTGAAATGGCAAAAAGTCTTCTAATTCATTCAAAGCTTGAAGAATTTTTGTGGGCAGAGGCTGTTGCAACAGCAGTTTATTTGCGCAACAGATGTCCCACAAAAGCATTAGATGGAAGCACACCATTTGAGGTATGGAAGGATCGCAAGCCATCAGTACAGCACTTGAGAGTATTTGGCTCGCGGGCATTTGCACTCGACAAAGTCAGAAAAAGCAAGTTCCAAGCAAAGGGCAAGGAGTACATTTTTGTTGGTTACTCCTTTACAGCAAAGGCATATCGCCTATATGATCGCGAGAAGCGAACAGTTATTGAAAGAAGGGATGTCAAATTCATTGAAGGTGAGTTTGACATAGCAACAACTGATGCATGCAGTATTTCAGAGAGAAACACCTTCACGACGTACATTATCCCGTTTGAGTCAAATCATGAGGTTGCAAAAAACCACCCAGAGCAACCTGCCGAGGTGCAAGAGTACAACAGTGACTCAAATGAAGAAGAAGAGGAGGATTTTGTGAGCGCAAGCGATCCAGGAGAAGATGGCAACGATGACGACAATGACCAAGTAGCGCTGCCACAAGTTGAAGCTGTAGTAAAACATGGGCGTGGCAGGCCAAAAATTATACGTACAGGTCAGCCAGGCAGGCCCAGAAAGCAGTACCAATTGATCAATAGTCTTAATCAGATTGAAGACATTGAAACTCCGCAGTCAGTTGCAGAAGCATTACATGGCCAAAATGCGCAGGATTGGGAAAAGTCTATGCAAATAGAGTACGACGCTTTACAAGCAAATGAGACATGGTCAGTGTGTGAGCTACCTCCTGGACAAAAGGCCATTGGTTCAAAATGGGTTTACCGAATCAAGAGAGATAAAGATGGTAATATTGAAAAATTTAAGTCTCGACTAGTTGCACAAGGTTGTGGTCAACAATTTGGTGTCAATTACTGGGAAACGTTTTCTCCCGTAATTCGATATGAAACCATTCGCATGTTATTCGCAATAGCTGCCGAAAAAGAGCTGTATATGCATCAAGTCGACATTTCAAACGCATACTTAAATAGTAAGCTTAATGAAACTGTGTACATGAAACAGCCGCCGAATTTTATTGACAAGCAGCATCCAAATAAAGTCCTCAAACTAGAAAAGGCACTTTACGGGCTTAAACAATCCGGACGAGTTTGGAACAATACGCTCGATGAGGTATTGAGAGGCATGGATTTTAAAAGATGCAAAAATGAAGCATGCTTATACGTCAAGCAAAAGCAACAACAATTCAGCTACATCGCTGTCTACGTCGACGATTTAATCATAGTGTGTCCCAGCGAAGAAGACATAGCCGTGATTAAGAAGAAGATTGCATCAAATTTTAAAATGCACGATGGAGGCCCCATTAGCTATTTCCTAGGCATGGAAATCCAACGCGACGGCGATCGAGGTTCCGTTTCGCTGTGCCAGAAGACGCACATTCAAGGCCTATTGGACAAGTATGGCATGAGCAATTGCCGTCCAGTAAGCACACCTCTTGACCCAGGTTTTCAAGTGGACTGCAACGACGATACTTGTGTAAAGGTAAATATAACGCAATATCAGTCATTAATTGGTTCGCTTATATACTTAGCAGTTTTGAGCCGACCAGACATTTTGCATGCTGTAAACAAATTATCACAAAGAAATGCTAATCCTCATGGAGAACACCAGTCTGCAGCAAAGCACATTCTAAGATATCTTGCGGGTACAAAGAATATGAAATTAGTATACCGTAAAAATGGCAAACCACTAAAAGGCTATGCAGATGCAGATTGGGGCAACGATCGGCTGGACAGGAGATCCTATAGTGGCTACGCATTTTTCCTGGCAGGCAGTGCGTTCTCTTGGACTTCATCAAAGCAAAGCGTTGTCGCATTGAGCAGCACTGAAGCAGAATATATTTCTTTGTCCATGGCTGCCAAAGAAGCAGTTTATCTACGCAGGCTACTTAGTGAGATGGGATGGTCAAAGGATACAGAGCCGTTGACTATATGTGGCGACAACCTAAGCGCGCAACATATTGCGCAAAATCCAGTCCATCATAAGCGCACTAAGCACATAGACATAAGGTATCATTTTATACGTGAAAAGGTACAATGTAATGATATTGCATTAGAATACGTACCTACAAATAATAATGTTGCAGATATACTAACAAAATGTTTAAGTAAGCAAAAGCACGTAGGCTTTGTAAAAACACTTGGATTGAATTAAATTTGTTATTTTGCAACTGATTATAATTAGCTTAAGAAGAAGTGTCAAAATAGTGACAATAAGCTGTTAAGCTTCTTTATAATCTGGCAACATTGTATCATGTTAAAATAGTGACAATAAGCTGTTAAGCTTCTTTATAATCTGGCAACATTGTATCAGCATAGTACTCATTCTGTAATTGAGTACTTGTTCAGATTTTTGTACTCATGCTTGAAGTTTCCATTAAACATTTAACCGAACCACTACGTGTGTTTTCTTTATGTGCATTTTAGGCACACTAGAAATTTCCCAACAATTTCATCAAACTTTATAATTTTTTTCTCATTCCTGTTCATCAATACCAGCTAACATAGATTTTTCAGAGACAATAGGATCTACAATTTATTATTTTATATCCCTAGGAACTCGCAGTAGGTAGGTCGTCCCAACCATAAAGCTACTGAAAGAATCCAAACAAATTTCAAATCAAGAGATGTGCCTCTTGACTGACGCATGGGATTAAGGACAACTGCAACCCGACAATCAGCCAGTGTCAAGAAGATTAAAGTCGTCAAGACCGACCTAGAAGTTTTTATCAGAGAGTAGGGAGGAGACGGATTTAAAAGCGTGAATAATAAAAAAAAGTGAGAGCGAGGCAGTGTCAGGATGAATAAAGTCGCCAAGTTTTTATCAGAATGTAGCCAGGAAATAGATAAAATAAAATAAAAATATAAACAAAAAATAAAAACATAAAAAATGACTATGTGACAGCTTTATAGCCACTAACTGAGCCTTTAAGATAAGAGGCTCTATAAGCTCCGGCGGAAGAGTGGACTCAACAGCCTCCTCCTCCGTAATGGGCAGCTCGATGGAATCTGTATTGTTAAATCACAATGAAAACAAGTTTAATTTTTGTATAATGGATTTTGCTTTTGTATGTGTTTTAATTTGTTAATCATATTCAGTCGAAACTGGCATCAAATTTTAACAATAGCTACTTGCAATTTTTAACATTTTCCTGTAGTCTAACATATCCATATACATTTTTCATACCTGAATGTTTTCTGTCGAGTCGTGTTCCATTTTGATCGGATAGCGTGCTATTCATTTCGTCGGCATCTTCCTTTTCACTGTTACATTGCATGTTACCGCTTAATGCAAATTTTACACTTCGCCCAGATCACGATTGTCACTTAAAATTAGCTAACACTTTAGGTCATAAAGCGAACAACATTTAAACATTTACTCTAAATATTTGTTCGCATATAGTTAAAAAACAAAAAAAAAACCTTTGTTAAATGACCATAAAAATGATTAGGTTAAGGAAAAATTCAGTTCTCTTAAAGCAAAGTTAAGAGTTCTTCAAGCTGCCTATGCAATGTGAAACAGAAAAATGTAGGTCAATAATAATACGCCTGTAATGAGCTTATATTGAATAACGCAAGTGAACAGAAAAACAACTTTATAAAATTTACAATTTTATGGGGAATTGCTATTTAATATTATTAAAACAAGCTTCGATACGTTTTTGATTTTGTTATTGAACGCACTTTCATTAAGATATTTTAACAATTATAACTTTGCCAATTAATAAAACTAGGCTTGGTGATTTTGTAGAACCTGATAGTTTAACACGTTGTTTCGACTTTCAATATAATTTAATTTTTTATGGTTTTTTGAATAAAGTGAAGTTGATTAATTGTTAAATGGATTTATAGAAAAGATTAAGAAAACGGTTTGTATGCTGCCAAATAAAAATTTGTTGCCCAGGGCTCTGAGCGATAAAAGTGAGATGAAAACGAAAGCTTTTATCTACACACAATTTCACCCCGATTTTTGGAGGACAACAAGAGAGAGCCACTGCAGATACATGTACATGTATTTGTTAGCCCCACACATTTCAATGCATATACACCTAAAAAGTCCTCTCACACAGCATCCGCTGACACTGACAAGAAAAAGCTTACGGTACTTAGCTGCTCTCGAAGCTTTCTAAGAGGAGCTTTAAGGTGCAGGTGGGGCTAAGTATGTCACCGGGACAACTGCAACTTAGTCTCTACCGCATGCATATATGAAAATATTGTTATTAACAAAGGATTTGCTTTTCAACTATCAAGGCAACTACTACATTACAAATAATTCTGGCCTTCAGCTAACACAATACTACATCCATGCATTGGATTAATATAGTTGCATGTACATGTAAGTGTGTATCTGTATTCAATATTCAATACACACCTTTCTGTACCTCCCATTAGAAGAGATTCCTATCCAAAAGTATTGCATGCATTTTCTGAACTGCAGTAGTAGAACGAACATGAAATCTTTAATTCGCTTTAATTCAGGAGCTAAGCCATAGAACAAGCTATTTTTTATGAGAAATGTTTCCATGGGCTGACTTCCGTAATTAATTCCACCCGCATTTGTGGAATAATCGTGGAAAACCGTTCAATTAAACTTTTTTGCTTACCATCCGACTAGGTTCAAGCTCATTTTCAAATTCATTTGAGGGGTGTTTTACACTATTTGAAAAATCCATACCTCCTAGGTAGAAATGGGGGTCAAAGATTTGATGGGTGACTCTAAGAAGACTCTAATCGGGTTTGCCCGATTACATGTCAGGTTTTGCAATGCAAGCTATTTAGTTGCACACAAATTTTAGCTCCTACGATTTTACCTATTGGACAATGTGTACAAAATACTTAAAATCAAGAATTGTAATTTTAGTTCATAAAGATCGGACAATGCACCCATAAAATAGGAAACTTTAATGTGTAACACTTATTATTTAAAAAATTAATATACAAAAAATAAACTGACCATTTTGTAAATCATCCAATGTCTCTCCTAAAAGCTTGCCACTTGCTGATTCATCTTGAAGATAATCCAATACAGTTTCTTCGTCGGTTTTTGTGACTTGAAATCTATCTGGCATGTTTGTGGGTCTGAAAAACATAAATATTGCATGTCAATTAAAAACAATTCAATAGAAACAATAAAAAGTGTTCTAATCGGCAGTGACCGACTTGGGAGATATTATTGACCTTTCCTTTTTTTTTTGTCTTTAGAAGATCTTATTTCCAACGATGAGCTTTTTATAATTTTGAGAAAACGAGGGAAGTTATCAAAAAGTGATCTGAGTCCATTTACTACACTTTGGGCTATAGCTCTTATAAGCTCCAAGATATGGGACAAATCTTGCGAGCTCGGGGCGACTTATTGATGATAAAAATAAAACTTTTTCACAATATCAGGGATTACATCCAAAACTTTAAGTATCCAAGTCTAAGTTCGTACACACGAATAGACGGACGGAAGGGCACAAATTTTAGATATTCATTTTCACACGCCCTTGAAAATCTGAAAGGTGCCCGCACCATCTTGATCTCCACTTCCATTTAAAAATATGTTTTAAGTGCATCGAATATGGAAGCAAAAATTGGAATCAGAGGTTTCCGCCTTTGTGAGTCTTCTATTGGGAATTGTTTATTAATCCTTTTTCCTTTTTTCTTCCAAAGGCGATAAAAGTTGCGAAAAGGTAGCAAATAATTTTCCACGATTTCATAATATTCCTATGTAGGAATTAGAAAATATGTTTAAATCATATCTAACAAACTCTTTTATGTATGGAGAATTATGTAATATAAACTTTTGTATAGAATGGAGTTGACCTATTTTTTTTTCTATTTTTTTTTTAGAGGGTTCTTAACAACTTTCTCACTAAATCTGAAGGAGGCGTCTTCGGCCCCATAAAATGTTCATCTTCTTGAAAAGTATAAACATCCGATATGGCCATTTTCAGCTGTCCATTTCTCCACAAACTAGTTTCTCAGCTGTAAAGCTATTATAATGAAACTTTTAATAGGTTTGGTCACTCTGTTTCAGAAAGAACAAGCACCGTCACCGGCCGGATCAAATCGTTTTATCATAGATATGTATATATAAAGCTGTCAAAGATCCATTCCAAATGTAGTTATTGTTTCTTAAGATATCTTGACAAGACGAGGAATGTTTCTTACATATAAACAAAATCTTATCAGAATCCGACAAATGTAGCCACAATAGCTGTAAATTCCAGTGTTGCACATTTACTTGGCTTTTCAAGAGTTGTTCACCGAGCTTTACATACAAATTGATGTTTACAATTATTTTATCTTCGCGCAATTGTTGTGTATATGCATGCATTTGTCTGTATGTACGTTAAATTATCAGATTCCTATAAAAGAGGCGGCTAATTTAATAAAATGTGGCATGCCATAACATAGATGAAACACACGCATTTTTCGTCAAAAAGTAAACATTTTGCAATGCTTTTTATCTCATCGAACAGTAAAATTACTTCATACAAATGCATGTTATCATATACATATGTACATATGTATGCACCAAATACACACATATATATGTATATATTCACCCCGAAATAAATGGACAGAATAAAACAAAATTGGACTTCCACAAACTTATCTACATGCCTATATATATATATATTTATGTATATGTATGTATGTGTGTGTATGTGTGTGTATGTATGTATGTTATGTACAACAAATACTTGCACTATACGCAAACGTGCTTTTGTATTTGGAAAATTGTATTTACTTGAGTAAACGCTTTCTTTCAAGTTTACCGATTCCCGAAAAATGTACAAAGTGCCTTTAATATTAATGTTAAACTATCAGCTTTGTTGTTTTTTTTATTTTACTACTATATTGTGAACTTTTCCATTGTACGAATAAAATTAAACTATCATATTGAAGGCGCATGAGTAACAGAAACCAATTTTCTACTGTATATAATTTGGAGCCGCAAGTTGGCGGAAATACTGTTGTATTAATGAAAAAAGTAACTGAAAACCTATTTAGCGTATTAAGTATGGATACCGAACATATTTTAGAAAAAACCTTAACAGAATACATATACATATATGTATATACACATGTATATACATATATACAGACTTCTATGCTGTGTGTATGTACGTACATTTAAGACCAAAGCATTTTAAGCGCATATATGTATATTTATATATAAATATGTACATATTTACATATATGTATGTACACAATACACATATATACATACATACACATACATATATTTATATATGTATGTATATACGTCTGCCAAACTCAATATTCTTATATATACATATATTTATACATATTTTTAAATATATATATACACATGTTTATAATAAAATATACATATATGAACCGTTTTCTACCAAGACGAAATGCAGCTCGTGCTACGATCTCATTTTAGGACCAATAAAAATAAGTTAAAACATAAAATTTCCTCAATTGAACTCGAACCCTTGATCAACCAAACTAATTGCCACCTCCTCAAGTCTAAAGCTATTCCAACAATTCAACTTTTATAGAATTCAATAAGGAGTGTGTGCAGCTCTTCAAACCTAAAAGATTTACTCAAAAAACAGGATTTCAATATTGAGGTTTTATCGACTGCTTGGAAACAGGAAAAGTTATCGATTAATATTAATATGTCACAGCATAAAAAAAGAAGACTGCACCTTGTCTGCCAAGCCAGCTTGAGGCGACAGGTTTGTGGCGCATTTGTTATTCAAACGAGGATTGGAAAAGCAACAGCGCTCTCGCTTCTGCCATTTACTTGATCTATCGACGCCGCCAGAATTCGAACAGCAGAACTTTCGCGGTGTTGGTCTACAATAATTTTCGGCGAACTTTATTTTTAAGACATATATCCACTTTTCGCGAAATGGGAGTGAAATGAAAATGTCATGACCGTCTTATATTGTGTTTCCACTGCACGCGAAGAATAAAATCGTTTTGTCATTGCGTTCTGATATCAAGCGCATTGCGAATAATGGTCTGTTATTGACTCAAATCCCGCTGACGGCTGCTAACATCTATGCGGCGATATTTCGAGCAATATCCCGTAATGTCAGTCGATTTAATCATGCCCGTCTGTCTGCCAGTTCGCCTGTATAAAAGTGCGTAGATCTCAGAGATGAAAGATATTTAGATCCTGCTTTTAAGTTATTTTCACCAATAATTAATACAAGCTTAAATTTTAACCTAATCTGCAAAATATTCTTTACTTCAGACTAACCGAATTCTCATAAAAAGTTTCTTAGCATACAAATACGCCTAAAATTGCGATTCATATTAGAAATTTCCTATTTTCAGGACTACGGATATCAGAATACTCTGCTCAAGGTGTTACAAAAACCAAAAAACAGCGTTAAGAGTCTGAGTCAAGAAATATGCTGCACGAGAAAATATGCTGCTTTGGTGCCCCAACAGACTGCAATTCCCCGAAAGTGCTTTATGAAAAACAACATCCGTATTGGATATTACCATTTACTGAAAAGTTTGCAACTGAGTAAAAAATATATTTCTAACTAATTTTATATTAAATATAATATCTGGTGAATATATAAATAAATATATATATTTAATTCAATTGCCTAATATTAATGAATATTAACAAAACGGAGACTAACATGAGAGAGGTAAGTAAAATGTGATACATATCAAAAAAATTGTATTTAGCTCAGGTGTTGTATTTTATTGGTGAACTTTCAATGAATATCTTACAAGTTGTTGTCCGTTTGTATTTACACGTCAAGAAACTATACAAAGAAGCGTTAACATATAAAATATTGGTAATTTTTACTTGCGAATTGCGTATAAGCAATTGAGAGTTATATTGACAAAAGCGCCTGTCTACGAGATGCTTCATTCAACCAAATATGGTGGCGTGGAGTAGGCGAAAGTGCGGTGGCTAAAAAAAAAAATATATATCAATATATCTAAGATATATCTTAATATCTTGCCTCGCTCACACATTTGCACAAAATCAGTTGGTGCAGAATATTTGAGATCTTCCGACTAGGAGATACCCTAGACCCTCTTCTGCGAACACCAAAAGCTGCTCGCGTGTGTACATTTATACCGAAACTCTTGCAATTTGCGCTAGCTACCGCAAACACGTGTCAATATAATCACATTTTCTTTAATAACTTCTATGTTCCTTTATCGATCGTGAAATTTTCAAGAGTAGAACTTCACCTACTTGGCGGCGTCGCGGAACAATTCCCTCTGTCGATGACCAATAGTCACACATAGTTTAGCCCATTTTCTTTAACTTCTCGCGGGTTCTTCCGCGATCCATTTGCAGGGTGGCTTGATCACTGCAGTTTGTTGACAGGCCTCTAGAGGATGCTTTGATAGTGCATCAGCAACGACGGTGAGCATTCTTCGTCGGTTACAATTCCAGTACCAGCCGAGCGATCCTCACCGAAGCGCTTCCAGTCCAGTTAAGCCACTTGAGTGCCAGACGATCCATTATCACGTCGAATTGGTCACCGGAGGGTGACCTGGAGAGGTAGCAACGCAACTTCCGGATCGACCATACGATCGCTAGACACTCTTTTTGGTTGCCGTGTAGTTTCAGCAACTTCCAGCTCGCGTATGCTATTACCCGCTCCTGGCCGTCTGCGTCAGCACTGCACCGAGGCAAAATCTATTCGCGTCAGTTTGCAAGGCGAATTTCGGCGAATCGACGCGATGCCTCAGGTGGCATCGGTATCTGTTAATACCCGTACTTCAAATATAAGATAGAAATGAATTGCGTGACGCAACCGCTCAAGGATGTGATTAATCCGAGGGACAGGGATGAAGTGCGCATTATGTTGCCGGTGGTCGAAGCACAAGCGCCACTCGCCAGTCTTTTTCTTGACTAAGACGATTGGGGGACTGTGCGGACTACACGACGGCTCGTTGGCACCCGCCTGGATCGGCTCATCTACTAGCTCGCTGATCACCATTGCATGACCGCGTCGCGTCGCCTTTTGGACTCCTCGTGCACACGGTCCGATTTACAGTGACGCCCCTACTTTGTTTCTTGCCTCGTGTCCTTCCCATTCAGTTGTCGAGCAGGCACTCCCTTTTCCTGACGTGGGTGACCATCTTTCTGTACGTTAATTACCACGGGCCCCACGATTGGTGCCACCACAGTTCATGGACCAGTTTGGCATTGCCGCAACGTATTGTAGTGCCCATAACACACAAGAAATACATCCCTAGGATGATAGAGGGCATGATGAGCATTGACATGCAGATTCATCTGTCAGACAAATGCGCGTTTGCACGTCCTGCGCTCTCCCGCGAATCACCCACTTGCGCACGCACTCTTCACTCATGAAGCTGCGAGTGGCTCCAGTGTCAATAGTCGCGTGCATCGTCCACCCGCCAATCTTCCACGAAGCTACGATCCAGCCACCATCCACCTTCAGTGGGTACCCTATTACCGGGTCACATCCTGGGTTGGTCAAAGCCGTTGCGTTTTTCGCGTCCGCAGGGACTAACAGTTCCGGGGCACTTGTTAAGTTATACTAATTGAATATCTTTCCCCTAGTCGGGAACTACCGACTAGAACCTCTTGTTTTCTTTCTATTTATCAGTCTCACAAGTTATTTATAATTTCATGTAATTCGTTTTACTTTTGTTTAGAGGGATAAAGACAGCTCACATTTCGTAGCTGTTACTACCATATCAGACTCACAAGCTATTCGAAGTGTAGATTTTCACCCCGATGGACAACACTATGCGGTCGGGTCGAACTCGAAAACCTTTCGAATATGTCAATACCCCCAAATATCCAAGCTAAGGTAATATACATTCTGTTTATCTACTAAGTGTTATAATTATGTTCATTTATAACTAAATCGCCAGACAAGATCAACATTTTTACCCTCCATCCGTCTTATGCAAACGGACAAAACACCATAGAGGCTCAATATATTGCATATGCTGGTCAGCGGATGGTGAACTTGTTGCAACTGGGTCAAACGACAAAACCATAAAATATATGAGGTTTAGCAAAGATACTAATCAACTGGTTGGACAGGAGGTTGAGCTCAATATGCATGATGGAACTGTTAGGGATATGTGTTTTCTGGACAATTCATCATCAAAGTCACGATTGCTCGCTAGCGGAGGTGCTGGTGACTGTAAAATCTACGTGACAGACTGTATGACGGGCATGCCGACACAGGTGTTTAGTGGACATTCTGGACATATTTCATCACTCTATAGCTGGAACAATACAACGTTCGTATCTGGATCTCAGGTAGTTTTTAAATTTTAATCCATACTAAAGACATGTTGACATGAAATATAACCGACAGGATCAAACAATACGCTTTTGGGACATACGATCAAATGGTGTCGTCAACTCGTTTGATGAGTACAAGACCGATGCTTTCCAAAAGTCCCCTGTCACAGCGGTATGTGTAGATCCGACAGGGCGACTACTTGTTTCTGGACACGCAGATAGCGCTTGTGTGCTTTACGATATCCGTGGAAATAGGCTTATACAACGGTTCTATCCACACAGCGCAGAAATAAGGTAAGCGATCCATAAGTAATTTAAACTGCTCTAGTCGGTAGAAACCGACCTTGGGATACCCTGAACCTTTTCTGCCAACACCAAATGCGGCACGCGCTAGACGCTAATTTGCTTGCACATTGCAATTCTTACAACTTTCTTGAGTCGAGATTTGCTCCAACAGGAATTCACTATCGACTTTTATCGACTGCTTGAAAACGAAGCAACTTTACAATTTAAGACAATGTGTGTTTAAATTGAAAATTTGTATATCTTTTTTTTTTTTTTAGATGCATACGCTTTTCCCCTTCTGCTTATTATATGCTCACGTGTAGCTATGATAACTCCATAAGACTTACGGATTTGCAAGGTGATCTTGCAAGTGACCTCGCATCTGTAGTTGTAGCAAAGCACAAAGACAAGGCTATTACAATAAGATGGCACCCAACCGAATTTACTTTTATTTCAACATCTGCGGACAAAACTGCAACATTATGGGCCTTACCTCAATCCTAACTTATTAAAAATCCTTAACATTAATATAATATTTATTAAGATATAGTACGAAATTAATAATATGTTAACGTAATTATGAAATTTTTAAAAACCATTCATATATAAGGTATTTATGTATTCTAGTATTGTTTTTAATGCCGGTTTGAGTTTTTCAATTATGTTTTATTGATAATTTTAAAAATAAAATTAAAGTATATCAATGAAGAGTCTACTTACATGCTCCCATTTAATTCTTGCGAAGCAGTTCGTTGTTGTTGCTGAATTTATTCTGCCGCTGCCATCGGCGGAGACGGTTTATGCCGCTTCTGTTGTTTGTTTTTGTAAACGTTTCCCAGTAGCTTCCGTCTGTGGGGACGTTGTATACAGCTTCTGCTGTTGTTGGGATTTTTATTCCGTTTTCACCATCGGAGGTGGCATTGTATGCTGCGCCTTTTGTTGTTGAGTAAATCCTGGATGTGATTTAGCCCTAAGTTGAGCGCCAATCAAAAAGGTTTACGTAGATACCGACTGGTTTATTGTCTGTAATTTAACTATAACTAAATAACATAATTCCTTAAAGTAAGCTGGTCCTACTCCGTAACAGCTCTGAAATTGTGCCTCGTTAATGGTGTTGTATATTTTTTTACAATATTTTTGCACTGAAAAGCCGCTGACAGTGCATTGCATTGCGCCACTTATTTCAGGGTCTTAATACCCGGTCTATGTAGCTACTTGTCCATCTCCACGTTGTAGCATTATTCTCATTGCGAGAATATGTATGAGTTGTTGCTGCCTGCCGTCAATTTACACGCATTCGCATTTCCAATTATATTACTTAAACTTAGTAAATCAAATTTGGTGTACAAGACTTTGACACTCATGTTATCCTGTAAGCCATCTCGCGGGTTTTGATTAATTTCCAGCATTAAATTTAGCAATTCAGAGTAAAAATGAGGAAAATTTGGCGGTTGATAGAATATTAAATGACGAACTCCTTTGATTCGCGTGCGTCGAAAGAAGTGACCTCTCTCCGAGTAGAGCATAATTGGTGCACCACTATGAAAGAAAATGTCTCTCGCTCGAGATATTTTTTCTTTCTTTGTATATTCACTTATTTGTACAAAATTGATCATCTCTTTTTTAAAGTGATTTCTTAAACGAACGTAGTCAAAATAGCTGGGCACATACAGCAGGCAATGAGAGAACCCTGATTTTGTAAATTGCGGAAGAACATGTCGTACGAAATATTGAAAGCGATCTTCCAAAGCAGACTCTACGCTTGAGCAATCAATACGTTGATAAACCTGTTTGACTGGCGTCAGTACATTGCACATATCACCATTTTCAATCGGATTAATTGTGCGCATTTTGCCTTGGTAATTCTGGCATTTATTATTTATTATTCCGCGAAATTCTGGAAGCTCATGCGATGAGAAAAGTAGAGTTTGTCGGTAGAAGCGAGACGTCGCATCCAGACAATATGTCCGTAGGCGTTGACAATTGGTGGAAGGTAACTTTTGCGGCTGCAGATGTAAATGATCTAGTACATAGAGAAGATTCTCCCAATTTTGCGCTATAAACAGCTCCGCCTGATCAATAATAAGTATTTCAATTGAATTAAGAAAATCAAAGTCCTTGTCCTTATCATTAATAAGCATACGTAATGCCAATGGAGAAGTAATTAAAATGTCCGATGCGCTTAAGTCGGAATATAAGGACATCGTTTTCTTGGTCAAACGAATACCAATTTTAAAGTTATCATCAGTGTTTCCGTTAAATGTTTTCTCATAATCAGCTGGTTTCGGATTAGTTTTTGGAAAGTATACAGTATTTCCAGAAAATTCGTTAAGAAATCGATCATACTTTGCAATCGAATGGCCAGCATTAGGATCTAAAAAATTAAAATTAAATAAATTAAATAATAATATAATATCAGAAAACAAAAACAATTTTAATCAGGAAAATAATGGCATTTGGGTTATCCTTATTAGTTTAAAAGGTATTTTAAAAAAAGGTTTTGAATCTAATCGGACAGAACTTAAAGCAACGCCCAAAAAATGATTCATTCGCAGTTTTCTATTGAGGAATCTTGAGTTCTTCAAAAAATGTGGAACACGTCTCAAATTAATTTTTATTAAGATTCTGAGAAATGAATTTAAGCCCGAAATATCACACTTAGAATCTTCGACACGATTTCCTGGAAACTAAAACTGAACTTTAAGGTATTGGAGATGCTTTCTTTTTGCAGTGACCATTTTCAACGGGTATGGCCATAAACATTTTATGAGAGGATCACTTCTGTATGGTTAATTTGCCATTTTACCTTGGATTTTAAATTGTATTTATTAACGTTTGTTTTAATTATACATACCCTTCTGATTCCCAAATAGCAGGTTTGCGATTATTTGCACCGTTTTCAAAGCAGATTCTCGAAATGGCAATACAATGAGGGCCTTCATTCGTGTCAGACCTTGATCCCTTACACTATCTGGTAATACCACCTCGCTGGTCAGTTCTTGTGGAATTTTGACGAGCTTAGCAATCGTCTCATTATTGCGTAAAATCAATGCTCTACTCTTTAATATATGATTAACTGTATGAATGCAATATACGTATCGGATCTGCTCCGCATTATCATGAGAGCGCTGGGGATAATAAAGGTCCAAGTAGCTATTCGCAATATGGAAGATTTCCGTCTGAAGAGCAGTTAGAGGATAGGAAATATTCGCAGCTAGACGCGCTTGCACTTTCATTTGTTCAAGGCCTGCGGGTTTCACAACTTCTGCAGGCTGCCTGCACATGCCATCCAGGCTAAGCGAAGTTTTTAAAAGTGGTTGTTCGATTTTAAAACGGCCAATTGCAGACCATATACCTTTCAATTCTTTTGTGTGTTTCGAAAGTATTGCAGTAACATCATCTGAGGTTAGTCCTATATTAAAGCGATTTGTGAACGAATTATTAAAGTCGGTGGTGTATATTTCTTCCTGATTCACATCGACGTTAGTTTTTTTCTCTATTATAACGGGTTCCTCTAATCCTTTAACTAAGTGAAATGAGAGAAGCATTTAATAGTCAGATAAGTGAATATTGCAAATGTTTTTCATACCTTTCTCTTCAAAACTACATCCACTTACAAGTTGCTCGTAAAACTGATTCTGATCTTTCAATAATGGTAAGTAGCCATCAGCGATTTTGGCTCCATCGTCAATAGTCTGTTGGAAATGACGTTCAATCTTATGCGCTTGTTCCATTTGCCGGCTTCTTTGTATAAAACTGCTATTCTTCGAACGTTTTTTATTCCCCCGTAAGGGACTTCGGTTAATCCGCTTCCCCTTCATTTTTATTTTTGCCATAAACCTATCTATGTCTGATAGTCTACATGTACCGCATAGTTTAAATAAGCGATATTTACTAAACACGCTACAAGTAACAAGTATTCAAAAGTAACCACTTACTTTCTCAATCTACTAAAAGTAACCATTTACAACACTTTTATCATTTAACATCTTCTGTCAAGATATTGGCACGGTAAAACATCTCTGGGCAAAGTTCCTATCCCATAGTGTTCCACTAAATAAATAATTAATGGTTGTATTTGCCATTCTGTCTGACGATCGCAAATATGTCGGATTATAATAAAGATATGTTTTATTTAAAAGGCAAAAAATACACATATAACAAATAAAAAGTACAAATTGCACGTGGCATGGAAAGAGACAACTGGAGCACCGGCAAGCAAAGAGCAACACTCAATGAAGTACCGTCCATAAGATATTGTGTGAATTTCGAATAATTAATATTATTTGAACTATTAATTTTAAAATAAAAACCATTGTGCCTTGAAATATAAATATATAAGCCAATTATATATATAAGCCAAGTTTCATATTATTCAATTTGGATTGGTTATATTCGCATATTTACCCTAAAATAAGATACTGAAAGATAATCGCAACCCAGCATAAGTTAATTTAAAAAAGTATGCTCAAACTTAGCCGCAGTCTTGCTTTTCCTTGAAGCCCGTTAAGTTCGAAGCCGTGAATCCTGGTAATTTTGTCGTCTTCGTCATAACAGAGTATACCAGTGCCAAGCGAAATAACGTGACAGGAGTAGTAATACGTCCCGTACAGTTTATGCCAAGGCTCGAAGCTGTTTCGAACAAGATCGAGAGTATTGTTCTTATGGATTTTGCATTTTAGAAAGCGAGGTTTACTTGATAAACTAAAAGGGCAAAGTTACAATTTGTTTGTATTTAGCTCAACTACAGCTGCGGCTGTTGGTTTGATAGATTAATATCTTCCAACACGCACCATAAGCTTTGTTATATTCAATACGAGCATATGAAAATCTACAAATAGTGTGAAAAATAAAAGTGTTCTTTTGTTTTGTATACAAAAATAAAAAAGCTTTATTTTTTAAATCATTTATAAACTTTTATGTCTTTAAAAGAGAATCGAAAGGAACAGTGTGTTAAACTTTAAAGTTTATACATTAAATGTGCTTGAAAAAAAATTATTTAAACAAGTTTTTTATTAAGTTTTCCAGTTTCACTGTATCTACAGCGAATTTCCGTATACCCTCAGACAATTTATCAGTCGCCATGGCATCTTCATTAAGTAACCATCTGAATTGATTCTCATTTAAAGAAATCTGCTTAATATCTTGGAGTTTAGCAGTGGCTACGGACAAAGCTGGTTTCAGTATCTCTTCATCATTTTCTAAATCTTTTAGTAAAGATGGACTGATCGTAAGCAGATCACAGCCAGCTAATGCTTTAATTTCACCAGTATTTCTAAATGATGCACCCATTACCAATGTTTTATAGTCAAATTTCTTGTAGTAATTATAGATACTCGTAACTGAAATGACGCCTGGGTCGTCTTGAGGCTTAAAAGTTTTGGTATCTGTGTTAGCCACGTACCAATCCAATATGCGACCCACAAACGGGGAGATTAGAGTTACACCAGCTTCAGCACAAGCCACCGCCTGAGCAAATGTAAATAGCAGTGTGAGATTACAATGAACTCCATGTTCTTTTTCCAAAATTTCGGCAGCCTTTATACCTTCCCATGTGGAAGCAAGTTTAATTAAAATGCGCTCCTTTTCAATTCCAAAGGTGGCGTATAATTCAATCAATTTCAATGCCTTTTCCACGCTTTTCTTCGTATCAAACGAGAGGCGTGCGTCTATTTCAGTAGATACCCTACCAGGCACAACTTTCAGAATTTCACACCCGAATAATACGCACAAGTAATCCATAGCTTCAGATACTTGATTTTCCAGCGATCTGAAAAGAAAACAATAAGTATTGTCAGAAATTTACTTTAAAACTTATATTAAAGATAAGTAAATCACACATTATTGAGTAAGCTGGCTCAAGGTCAATGTTGGTTTTTAATTTTTATGCGCGAAGAGTTAAGAGACGAATTAAATAAAATTCTTAAACAAATTGAGTATGTAAGTAAACAATTGAGGTGAAAGTGCTGGCTCTTATTATCTATTTCACTTAATGGAGTGGACGATTTGGTTCCTATATCCAATATCCCACATTCCAATATCAATATTTGAGAAATTTGAAATGCTTTTAATTAAAAGAAGAAAAAAAATGTTGAAAAACTCAATTTAGTTCAATATTACTTAATATCTATAAATATTGAATATGCACATTACCCTTTTTTAGTTTTTCCATAGTCGACGGCATTTTTTACTATGTATTGATAGCGGTCCATAGATGACGCAGACAAGATAAGGGATGGGTTAGTCGTGGCATCGGTAGGCTTATAGACATTTATGGCTAAAATTAAAAACAGCATTAGAAGACACAGATCCTTCAACTGTATATAACTTTTTTGTAAAGCTCCCCCAAGTGACAATATAAACACTAAGATCAGTAATGCTCAACCTTTTTCTCTGGCTTTTCGCACTTGAAACGAAGCGATGCCGATTGGCTTTTCGCTCACCAGAAGCGAGACGAACAAATGTAAAAGTCGTGGCTTGTTGCTGTTATGACGGGCAATGAATTCAGTCGCCAGCCTCCCTACAGCAAAGTTGGTCGACGATGCTCTGCGTCCTTTCGTTTTCGAGGTATACTGAGCAAAAAAGTTTTTTGCATGCATAAATCAGTTATCTTAGATACGTACTAAATTGTAAAATATAATAAAATATATAATAAATTTTTATCACATAGCGCTCTTTTTACCTTAACGACCTTCATACAATATACCACATAAATTGAATTTACTTTTATTTTTGTGCAGCGTATGCTAGAGAGAAGTTCTTGTATTAGCCAATGACGTGCAAGCACTTATGTTTGCATGTGTGATGTATGGGTAGTAAGATTTCTAACGCTGACCATGACCTACGTTAAGTTTGCATTGGCATATGTATGAACGTGTGTGAAAATTAGTATGCAAATATATTTTATATAATTTAATTGCAATTATTAATTAAATTAATATATACGAATATAAACATTAAAACAAGAACTTTCTGCGTTTTGCCTGCTACCAGCGAATTTAAATTTAAATTTAAAGAAATTTAATGATTATCACCGGCTTAAGAGGTACTGACTTTAAACCAAGCCAAACTTGTTACAGCACATACATACATACACACACACACACGTTACTTATCTCAATGTTTACATTCACTTTGGTCATACAAAGTCAGAGTCACCTTCGAATAACTTTGATTTGAACTTCATACGTTTATAAACTGCAATCGCATATATATGTACATACATATGTATATCAATATGTCTCTAATATATGTACATATGTGGAGTACGGTTGTATTTAATAAAGACACTGAGGTCCTGAAGTTCAAATAAAAGTTAAAGTCGAAGGTGAGTGTGACTTTTGGTTAGTATAGGTACATATGTACATACATGCTGTTTTAATTTATAAACCACAACAAACCTAACCTTTTAATTTGTATGTATGTATGTACCCACACTTATAGCCACATTAACATAGCTTAACATACTGATACTTAAAACGATATTAAAATAATTAATACTTATATGCTTTAAATAGTACGTAATTCATAATTGTATGAGTGATAATTATTGAACAAATTTACCATCAAAATCGCCGGTATCAGCAACAATGGTTGTTAAATTTTTAAGCTGTTCCAAAGCCGACATTTTCCTCTTTTTTATCACACGATCACTTCCCATTGCCCAACAAACTGAATGTTGTGTCTGTGGCCAAAAATATCGATGGTAATCTTCCTTTCATCGATTGTTACCCTAAGGTAATCGATGATTTTTCATTTGATAAGTTCCAATTCCGCTTCCAAGGTACATTTGGTCCACTTTGACTATCGGGAGTTGACAATATGAAAACATAAAAATAGGTTTCTAATGGCCTTATAACTTAAACTTTGTCTATTTGACAAGGCATGGCTTTTAAATTTAGGCAACCTGTCCTGATATACCCGATATATTGGCAAAACGAATATAACATCTAATAAAAAATAGATTACATTGTTCCATTAATTTTACTTTAATAAAATAAAGCAATCATAATTTTTATTCTTATTTTTTATTATTTATTATCATTATTATTTATTCATAATTTTTCTATTTTCTTCCCTTTTTTAATAAAATATCCACTTAATTTAAATTGGACCAAGTCCATCGTTCCAATTAATCGAAATTAAAGAAATAAAAGAAACAACGCTGTTATCCAAGTCTGAGGCTCTTTTGCTGACTTTCTGTTTCATCAACACAACACAGAAGATCAAGATCACTTCCGCACCCTCTTCGCCATCAACCGTTAAAGACCTAAAGCCCCATCCAATACCGCTTGACAGCACTCTAGGGCACTCCCGAATAAAATCTGTGAATCGGAATTGCCTTCTATTTTACCTGAGTGCCTCTTCTACTCCGTGCCGATTTCTTGTAGATTGAAGAAGCTAGCCTTGCGAAGACCCCTGATATACGCTGGAAAGCAGACACCGATGAGTTCCCCTTCGCACCCTTCAAAGCTAAGAAATCCTATACAAAACGTGAGGCTGTTCGATCCAGCGGAATGGTTAACTCCATTCGTGGTCCATGCCATGATTTGGGCTGGGACCAATCCTTGCCAAGCCGAACCACTTCTGGACGACGAGAATTTGATTGCAGAACATCGATTTGGCCTTGGCAATCAAACTTTTCAATTTGCGTTGAATCAATCAGCTCGATATATTATTTCTTAAGCGAATGCTTTATAACGTCGAATATTTTCCTCTTATCTTCTACAATCAAGAAATATCAATAAGCAATGCATACATACCTTGAACCATATTCGTTTACGGAATATAAGTTTCCAAAACACCTTTTCTAAACTTACAGCTTCCTGGGGAAGAATAAAATAAATAACTGGTAGCGTAAACAAAACCTGCTGATTCAAGCATTACCGATCGTTTCGCAAACTTATTTTAAACTACCAGCTCCTCCTCTAGATATAATTAAAATCAGCCTTATCCTCATCAGCGTAAATCTACAACGACTAACCTTCTTGAGTTAATTGATGAGATTAAGAAGGTTTTTAGTAAGGCTTTCCTTACTGCTTTAGAAGTTATGCCTTCTCGGCTTCACAGTCAATCTTTTGAACTGCATCTCTGAGTGTTTGCGTAACATAATCAAAAAAGTACTCTTCGGACTTGTGGTGTTCCCCAAGGTAGTCATCTAGGCCCGCTACTCTTTTCATGAATAACCTTCACTCGATATTGCCTCACTCTCTAGCACTAGTGTATGCTGCTGAGTTAAGGTTGCGCCTTGCTTAAAGTTATGGCGTCATGTAATCTTTAACTCGCCGACATTGATACCTTCCAGTCTTGGTGGCAACTCAACCTGTTAAATTTAACGCTTTCTATAGAAGACGTGCTCGAAAGGTTTCTTACACCCTTGATGGTGTACCGCTCAGGCGTGTCAACATTACCAGCAATGAAGTTCAATTACATTACCAGCAATGAAGGTCAAAGGAGTTTGTCGATCCGTACCCGACACATATTCTTTAATATCGCTGGTACGACCTTTTCTAGAGTGTGCCTCATGTATCTGATCGAAAGAATATTCTGTTCATCAAGACAGCATTAAATCGGTACATAATCAATTCTTGTTGTTTGCCTTTTGTGGTTTAAATACGCTTACCGGCATAATCCAGTAGATATCTGATGATAAATCTTCCTTCTTCAATTATTCGCAGAGCTAAGCTTGGTGTAATATTAATTAATGGGTTAATTACGTGTGAAATCGTCTCGTCTAGGTTGACTAGGTAATTAACTTTCTAGACTTACACGTAATAATAATACATCATTATCGCTTCAATTTTGTTCAACTAACTTTGCATGAAGCGTTCCGCTGTGACGATTATAACAAGCATTATAGAGTATTCTGCTCGAAGTCTTCTCAGCCTCGAATAGTCATCTCTTCTAAGCAAGTAGATAGTAACAAGAATATAAGCTTTCATAGAAGACTTTGTAAATAACCGAAAGATTTAATTACTCTCTAAATCAAATAAGTTTTATTCATTTTGGATACAATTCTCTGAGCAAAGAATACAAGTTTGATAAAGGTTTACAATTTCGTCATCCTTGAGGATCTTCTGCATGTTTGTTCCACTGCCCAAGACCTTTAGAACTTAGAAACGACGACATCAGGAACTACATACATATAAATAATATTGGCGATAATTACCAAAAATGTGTGTACTAAAATAGGGGAAACCAATATGCTTGCAAACTAAAATTGGAATGAAAGGATTGGTAGGACATCAGCAACAACGGTTTAGCGAAGTAAGTACTATGCTGCTTCGTTTAAAAAGTAGACCAGTTCGGATTTCGGTGTTTATATTTCGTAATTATTGATATCTTACATGCTGAATTTTAAATATGAATTCATTTAGTAGACCATAATGTACAGCAAAAGATCTGTCGAATTCACTTATAACTTGGCACACTAGTATATCAACATTTAACAACTTCACATATTCTCTATAGCAGGGATGGACTTAATTTATGTAAAATTAATGGGGTGTCATCCAATTAATGAAATCGGGGATTTACTGTATAAAAAAAAAATTATTTATAAAAAGGTTTCATTGGAATATTGTAGTCAATAATGCGAACGTTCATTTAATCGTCAACAGCAGCAAATGCAATTGCGAGCGAGCATTCAAAAGCGTTCTATGAGATGAGCTAACGCCACCACTGTACAATTTAATGGGTTTTCAGGCGCAGTTTTTAGTTTAGCATACGGTAATGCTAATGTTGTTTGTAATTTGTTTATTTCACAGTGTCTTTAATTTATAACGATGTACATCATGTAAATTTTAAGTGAAATTTCTAAAAAGTTTTTTTTGTTTTAAACAGAAACTAAAGAATTATTTATTTTTTCTTTATAACCTAAGCTTGACACAAATTGGATAGTTCTTTCTTGTATACATTACATGTATGTAGTAAAAATAAATACCACGGACACAATCCTGGATCCCAATTACCTTATTTTACTTTCAGCAAGTCCTCAAATGATAAAAAAAAAACTCGAGTTGATTGGAACGGATACTTGAACTGAAAAACTAACATTCCAATGTTCTATACACTCAATCAATTTTTTTCTTTTGCCAAAATTGATTCTTGCCGATCGCCATAAGTCAAAATATTGATTTTATGCTGCTTCAAGATTACGTCTTATATTCTATGGAATGAATGAACTAACTGTTTTTTTTTTAACTTTAAGGCCAAAGTCTGACTGAATTAAGACTACTTAATACATAAATTCAATACAAAATATCTATCTGCAATTCCATCCACGAAAATAGGCTGGTAAGCCAATTGTTGGCGAATAAATAAAATATGAATTGCATAAATAGGGATTCAGGATTTATCTATTAAATCATTTCGTGGTTTTATTTAGTGTAATGACATCTCATTAAAGAAATATTTACATAAAGCTACGCACTCAGAGTTCATAGAAAAAATAGGTTTTTGATCAGATGACGAAAAATTATTTTAAATTTTTTGTACATAAAAAATACGAACAAATCTACGATTGATTTTTTTTTCTCTTTCAAAAAACTAAACCTCAAAAAATTAACTATGTTAAAATCAGAAATTATTTTAGATTTGAATATTCTCAAAAACTATAAGAAAAAATCTTCTGAAACTTCACGTATGTATTTCCAATTTTCCAAACTACAATCATCTATTTAATTGCATGTACAAAATTAATGCCTTGGGTAAAACGCATTCAAACAGAATTATTAGGTGTACGTTTCAATAAATCGTTTGATCATAATCTATTGACGATTTCACGGTGTTTGTGTAAATTAGCGAGTAAATCTCTATCAAAATATCACGCGTGATTTTTTTGTTTTGTTTTTTAGTAATATTCGGAAATAAGTCTATGTGTTGTTTGGTTAAAATCATTACTATAGGTATTTCTTTCTGTTTATATTTAGTAACACTTTATGCTAGTTATTAGAATAATGATGTTGGGCTTAATGATTATAATATTCTTAAAGCATCATAGCGTACAGCAGGCCAAAGAAGACAGCCCACATTAACACAATCCCATGCATCTTATATATAGGACTCTCACCATCTGCAATTTTTCTAGCAACAAACTTCAACGTTTCATCTAATAAAACTACAGGAATTGAAAATTTCATCACAGTTATCCATTCCTCTGCAGACAACGGTGTCACTTGGAAGACGGCCTGCAAATATACAGGATTTAAGTGCCTTATACTTAGTATCTAGAATAATTACTTACAGAGAGGACATCAACATATAGAATGACAAAGTGAAGCGTGAAAGATAGAGCCATTGAACCAAGCAACCACAAATTACACCATGGAGGCATTGTTATTAAGGACTGGTTCTCTGATAAGCTGTATAAAGAATATATATTACTCGTATATTAATTGTTTCGCGAAATTAATCGAAATAAACTAACCTGTTCATTGCATTTAACATTTCAATGGTTACAAGCACAGATAGAGCCATGGTCATCGCATGTGGATCGCTGAAGATTTTACAATCTACGCCCTTGAATTCCTCTCCACCGCCCAAGCAGGCAAGATGATGAGTGAGCTGCCAGTATGATAGGTTTGGACCTTCCGAAGAAAATACAAACCACCAAGTTGCTGCACCAACCGTTGCTGCACCGACATAGAAACCAATGGCCATATAACTAAATTCGAAACAAAATAAA